TATTAATCAATACAAAACATTCCATTTCAATCATCAACCGACATCCACAGTTGATTCTTATTATTATTCCTTTGGGTTCCGAGTGGAACACGGCTTCAACAACACATCTTCACTTTGCTCTGTTTTCCGCTCTCCTCTTCAGCTGGGCTAAAAGATCACCTATAATCTCTCATCTCCTCCTCCGTACACGGTGTGCATCACATCACCCTCGCACGACCCACTGGTCGTTTCCCATCCGGGTTCCATTCGAGCGATGGCCCGCACTGCTTGCGGTGTCATTCCATAATCTCCTCAGTGTATATCCAATCCATCTCCGTTTTCTTGTTGAGCAATCGACCCTTGGTTAGTTTGTTTCCAGCCAGAGTTTCTTGTTTCAAATTCTTTCTGTCCAGCCGACTATTTGGTCTTCAATATGGAGTCAGCGAAGGCAGCTGTTGATAAAAGTCTTTAGTAGCCTGTTGGACACTCTCGTTAAGGTTCTGACCTATATAGAAGAAATGATCGACTTCATTGACATTTGTGTTGAATATCCGAATCTTGTTCTTGATACTGGTTGAGTGAAAGCAGAAGATTTCCAAATAGGTTTCAGATTGACGAAGGTGTATCTCACCTTTACGATTCTGACTGATTTTGACATCTTCATTCGTACCGCCCGCCTGAGGCTGAAACAATGCTTCCCGGCCAGATAAGTGAAGGAAGTAACCTCTTTCAAATCTCTCCCGTTGATGGTGATTGGTACTGATTGTTGTTGTTTCTGTTGGTTGGCTGGTTGGTTATCTTCATCACCTCCATCTTCTCTATGCTTTATTAACCTTTATTGCTTGTTTTAAATTCGTATCGGGAAATAAATGTTTCCAATTCTCTATGTTCACCTGAAGTCCTCTCTTCTACTGCACAAGTTCTCACTTATAAAATAAGAGATAGAAAAAGAACTTGTTTCACACAGCGTGATGTGTTCTGCTGGTTTTGACCAAAAGCAAAAGCAACAACTGGAGCAGGATAAGACGATGCTATTTTATTTCGTTGGTTTCTTACACAACTTCTTTTTCAAAGTATCCAGACCTTTTCATTTAACTTGAGCTTTCTGTGTAGCTTCTGACAACACTTTGTCTTATTTTGAATCCGCTGTTATCTGATATCATTCCATTTTTCTGGGTATATTTTAAAACAGCCTACTCTGTAAGTTACTTTATTGAAATTTCTTCACTTGAGTAATATAAACTGAATCAGTATATGTAGACAAATAACATCCTGGAATATTGCTTTTTCAGAGGAGGCATCGACTTGGAAATATATACAATACGATTATAAATCTTAGAACAACACTTTCTTAATAATGATGCTAGAAGTTAAGACTGCAAAAGTATTTATAACAATTTAGAAAGATTAAGCATTTTTTAAATAGATATGGGCATTATTTATCCGTTAAATTGATTAACGAAAACAAAACAAGTAGTTCACCGAAGAGGCTTTTTCCGGAGAATTCATTCTCCATAGCTGTATAATCGCATTTATATACAATCTTTTCCTCTTGAAATACAAGAGTAACACAAAAGTGATGAGTTGTCACAATCATACTTGTTAATGTTAGTCAATGCATATAAGTTGAGTTGAATAAGTGTGTTAATGCCACGTAATCAGGTGAATAGTCGAATGAATGAGTAGTAATCAGAAGGTACACAAAAAACGAAGGAAAATATGGAATTATGTAGAAGTTCTAAAGCAAGCGAACAAGCACTTTCGTTACTATACTCTTTGATGAAGAAATTGTGTATAAATGCCATTGTGCAGCTAAGAAAATGAATTTTCCGCAAAGAGCCTCTTCGCTGAACCGCGTTTTTTGTTTTCATAAATGTCTGGATGGTGAGTATTCACTAATTAAACTGATTAATTATGTATTCAATCAAAGTCCTACTAGGAGCCTGAGGGGACATAGGGCTTCAGCAGCATATCTTCGTTTCGTTCTCTCCTCCGCAGTCCTCTTTGGCTGATTCCATGGTTGTCCACAAGCTCTCATCTCTTCCTCATGCGATCCCCATGTCGTATCGATATTAGACCATCTGGTGCAAACCGGTCACAAAGCCAGAGTAGAAGAATCCTTTTCTATAATATGCCGGGTACCTAACACATTACGTAAATCATCGAAGTACCGCATGCTCCAAACAGCAGAGGCTATTGCAATTCGCCTCAAACAACCAGTGCTCTGGGTCCAAAAGTCCAGCCCGAACTACTGCTCTGGCCTTCAGTTAAGACTATAAATTCATGAATCTGTAATATTATCTTTCCTAATTTTTCTGACATTCAGCTTATTTTATGTTGATGCTATTGAGCTGTAATCTATCAATATTATTGATTCGATGTTATTTAAACAGCATTGATGTTGTTCATAAAACTAATTAATCCATTCACTATAATGTATATATAACTGTAGAGCCTGATGATGAAGTTATCGAAAAGAGTACTCTTTGTTCAGTATCCATTCTTTTGAAAATATTTTTTAGAAGAAATATGTAAACGACTTAGATATTCAAAAAAGGTGATATTTCAGGACTCCCAGACCATAAATAAACAAGTAGTCTTACAAAGATTTGTACTATGTGCATGGATTCAATACATATAAGTTGTAGTAAATCTTAAACATCTCTGAGCTTATTTTCCAGTCATCATCTACTCTGAAGATGTCCGCGATAAGTACATGAGAACGGCAAGGTTATCAGTAACATCAGCTATGAAGAGCGAAGGTATGCCGTTTAGTAAATTGAACACACTCCTTCTTCATTATTAAATGATTTTCTTTAAACATTTGCATATGTAACTTCTTTCTAAGTTATCAGAAATCAGATATCTTGAAAATACTTAACTACAATCTTTAGATACGAAAACGGTTCTTTTATTTATTATCTTTTCGTATCATATAATTGGTTCTTCAGACTGTCTGTTCATCTACCTCCGTTTCGAGACAAACATTCAAGCTCATGAATAGAAAGACATTTTTTAGAACTAATAGTCATTTAGTGATAGTCTTTTACAAAAAAGGGGAGGGATTTACTAAATCAATTATTTCAGCTGTATTTCACCGGTTTCCGACAAAGACAACCAGGATATTTTCGAGCATTGGTTTTGTAGAGATTGTGCGTTTGATTGGTTGGAGGGTTTCATCATGAGCTGACATCAATTAGAGAACCACTGGAAAACCCGCAGGGAATACCGGACAGCCGTTTCGTCAGCCTAGTTTGGGACTCTTCATCAGTACGCACCCACCACAGGATTCGAAGTCAGAACCTTCTTGTCACAAGGTGAGTGAGCTCGTAGACCATTCAGCCACTGGGACACAATCCAATGGCCAGACCGTGAATTCTAACTTCTGACAATTCATGACATAGGGTGACCCCTTCACAATATCTTCTTCAATGAGTTACTGCCTCACCTTCAACCTACTGTACCCTACTGGTCACGGCTTCCCACTAGAACCCCAGGTTAACTACCTGAATAGGGATAGTAGCTTATGTGCATCAGATTAATTTTCAAGTATTAGTCTTGTAGGGAATTTCGTTGGATTGGTTGGAGGAATTCAGCCAAGATATATAGAGACATATTGGAAAAACAGAGGAATATGTGTAAATGCATTGAAAAATTTAAGAGCACCGGTGGCCTCTCCCAAAAAATTGTAGCAAATTTAGAAAGGTATATGCATGGAACCTGCTGTCGATTTTCTTCTACAAACGGTCTTCATTATGATGTCAGGAGATCAAGATTAACTTTATTTGATGTTCAGTGACTCGTTTCAAATGTGTAGTATACATCCTTGTTAGTGATATATATATATTTCATCTTGTATAGATAATATTTATGTCTGTGTGTAAAGCGATTAACGATATATAAAAAGTTTTGTGTCATTATTCTTTCATCTTAAATTGTACACCTGCTAATCAGATGAACAGCTACTTTTAATTCATTATCGTTGATTCTGTATCAATTCGTTCAAGTAGCTAGTCAAAATTCGGGTAGCTGGAATTGACTCAGCTCTCTAAGCTGAGTGACACCTCACACCTTTCTGATAAGCTCAGCCCCTAACGTGCCAAAATAATGTCTGGTGTTTAGACCACTCCAATCTGCCTAGAAAGCATTACCAGTTGATGTGAGTGGTGTACAACTACTCATCGCCATCAGGCAGTAGTATGTAGTTTTGTGGTGAGAGCTGTCTGCAAGACAAAACTGTAGACAACAATTGACGTCAATGTTTACGTCCCAAATCTTGGTCATGAGAAAAAACAAGAACAAAGCCTAACCTTGAGGAACTCAACAACCAATCACAGCAGACTAAGCGTGGGCGGATACGAAATGGCAACAAAGAGATGACAGAATAACCTTCAGCAGGAAAACAAACAATCAGAAGACATTGCTTCTCTGCTAACAATAACGAATAATAATGTACATAAAAATCTATATTTGTTGATTTTCTCAATATCTGTTGCCTGACCCTTGTCTTCTGCCGTTATAGTTTTATGCAACTCTAAATTATGTGAAACGCATTTATTTATATTGATATGTTAGACGATGGATGCGTTGTAAAAACCGAATCAAAAAATGATCTGAGTTCGTACGAATTTAAGCTTGTCATTTCTATCATGTTAGCTGAAAAACGTTTAGAGCTTCCGCGACAATGGATGTCATTATTTTCTGTTTTTTGTGTAACTCATACGTCATACTTATTTACTAAAGAATCTAAGAGATCGTTGTGTATTTTTGAGTCTTACTGCATGTCATGTTAAATATTACGGAAAATACTACAAATAATAGGAAATCATATGTTCAGTGAAAATTTTGTGATGTCTTCACAGGGTGATTATTCACTAAGATAACCGGGTACCTGAATGAACTTTTCTCTTGACGTTCTTATAGTTCTCATTTATCAACTAACACATCCTTTCAACATCTGTTCTCATTATTTCTAAGGAAATACCTATTGACTTCGTTCATTATCTTTCTCTTTTTTTCCAGTGAATTCTTTGAATTTATATTGAAGCAAAGAAAAATACAAAGAATAAAAAATAACTATTACTTTTATACACAATCAACAAAAAGAAATCTTTACAAAAAAATGACTAGCTGAAGCAAAATGTCAAGTTGTATAAATTGTACAGATTATTGTTGTAAATACACAAAAGAAAAAACAAAATGAGTTAAACTCAAAATTGAAATATATCCTACCAGTATTTTAAATCAATAATAATATGAAAGGTATACAACGGTACTACAATCGAACTCGTCATGAATTCATAGATAAAATGAAAAAGCAAGATCATTCATTTACATGTTTGTGTTGAAGGCTTTATCAATACAACTTAGTTAAATAATATGCATAGAAAAACAAGGCATATTCAAGTGTTTAGATTCTCCTATTACTTGTTAATCAATAAATTTCAAAAAGGGAGCGTAAAACATTCAATGTTCAATAGGCAAATTATATATAACGAAATGATCAGACTGACTGTTTGTTAGTCAGGAAACAAAAGCAATCATCGGTAAACAAAAAGAATGTAAAACAGAATGCTAAAAATAAAATTAAAATTACTGTATTTACACAGATACATAAGAGAATAGTACTGTTAATCGAAATATTCCAAATGCATACATAGTTATATAATCTGAGAAGATAAAGCAAAAATTACACAAGTAAGAATAAGGCCGTCAAGAACTAGATATAAGCTGAGATAAATGAACATCCAAATATAAGTTTTCTCTGTATAATAATAATTATTATTAATATTTGTTAAATTTTTGTTGGGCCAACATATATTGGATTAATATTGCTACCATTACTATTGTTTGCATTTGGATATTGTTGAAGTTGATTGTGATAAATCTGTTTCCTATGAAAGAAGCCACATTTCCACATTGTAAATATTAGCAATGCAAGTAATGCAAGGCCTAAAATACTTCCAAGTATAAATGGCCATAGTGGTATTTCACGGAATAGTGATACATTTATACCTTCAAATACAAAATTTTGTGATATAGCTAATGGTTGAACAGTTAAATTACTGTCAATTTTTATCCCGAAAGCAGTTTCTTCAAGTTGAGCATTCGCTTCACTGATAATTGCAAAGTCAGATATTTTATAACGGAAATATGTATCAGCCCATATCCATCCACGTAAGACAATGCGAACAGCATCACCACGCGACAGTCCATTTACACGGCATGATATCTAAAAAAAAAATAATTGTAAATATCCAGTCATATTTCATACACTTTGTACTTTGTAGAATAATTAATTTCATTAAAATAAGAATACTTTGTCAGGTGATGTCTGACAGACAAAAATTAAATGCCACTGGCAACAAATTCTTAAGGTAATATGCTATTGGCGGTCATAAATGTCGTTGACTCGTTTTTATGACTGCCTTGATGATATCTGCTCACTTCTAAGTACACCATCCTGAGTTTTTCGTGACTTGTTGAGAAGAAACTGGATGTAGAATAATATAAACATATACGTCGTTAGTTTACTTGTAGGTAGAAGGAATGCGATCTTTTCTTTCAATATATCTGATGGATTACAGAATTCGTGTATTCAAACCATCTAACAACAACACAATATTTGAATGGACGTAGGGTTATTCGAAATGACAAATAAATCAACAAATAGAAGCTAAATAAATGAAAATCTGTTGAAAAGTTTGGGTAAGCTTATGGCTAGTTGATTTAGAAACTGATCACGGATGAAACGTCTACCTATAATGAGATACTTCTGTCTTAAACAACTTTTAGTTGAGGCTAGATGAGATAAGTTGGTTAGAGGCAATCGGCCACAGGAAGCCACATCTGACCTAGGTTTCGTGCTTGTAGGCCCTCACCAGTCAGCGAGGCCTGTCTGCAACCTTGAAGAAATCATGTCCCTTCTGAGATTCCAACCCGCGTCACCAAGATCTGTAGTCAGAGACGTTATCACTGAGATATTCGGCCTCGAGAATGACCTCCTGTAGGAATGACTGTATTGGATACTTTGATTGGACACTAGTAACTAGTGTGATGTGTCTGGCCCTTTCTTTCCAAGTCCTTATAAACCTGACTGATAGAATTCAGTCTGCATCAAAGAAAGGACTAGACACCTCACACTAGTTACTAGTGTCTAATCAAAGCTAGATGAGACTGGAAAATTCAGTTCCTAAATTGCAAAGGAAAAAAACTTAAAATGAGCGGAAATAAAAATTTACACCATACTAGTTTAGTGGACTAATCAGCATCTGAACAAGTTTATTTTCCTAACCATGAGTAAAACTCACTGTTACGATATTGGTTAATAGTTTAATTCTTGTATGTATATAGAGATTTTTAGTGAAACTGTAATAGATCTTAAATAAACACTTATAATCCCAAGATAGTTATGCTTGCGGTCTTCAGAAGCATGCAGCCATCATATTCTATTATGAAGTTAATATATTTTGGATGACAGGAAAACTATTTGGTCATATTACCTGATACTGTACAACACATTATAGCTTTACTTGCTATAGAGGATTTTTTTTCGATTTTTGATTATAGCTTGATTCCACACCGTAATTTTGGTACAAGTAGGGAATTTTCAGCATGCGCTATCGGTAGCCCAAATTTTGCAGGCCGACCATTGATATCGGGTGTGCGTCGTCAGGGGATCGAACCCCAGACTATGTGCATGGTCGGCGAGAATCCTAACCGCTGTGCCACCGACGCACAGTAGTAGACCTTAGAAACAGCATTTATGGATTTACTGAAATGTGTCACATCAGTAGGGTTAATACTTCTTTGAAGACATTCGCGATCTTTGAAAAAGTTAGTCATTTGTAGAATAGTTCAGTAATTATATCTCTGATATGCCAGTAAATGATACTTCCATATTCTTCCAAAGCTAACTTCCCTAAGTTTGCCAATGATCTAGCCACTTCTGTCTCAGTAGTTTCTGCACTGGATTGTTCTTATATGATGAATAGGTCCTTATCTCAAGTTAACAAGTCATCTCACCTAAATGGTCTCAAACTGAATCCATCTAAATGTCATATTATTGATTTCAGTTTCAGAGATGAAAAAGACTTGCGTGGACTGATTCACTCCCATGATTCCTGTAATATTGACGGCACTGTGATGGGGTGTAAGTCGAATATCTCTCATGTCTGTATCAGTTCCTTTTCGAATCTCCGTTGGTCATTTCATATCTTGTTGATTCCTAAGAAAATTTTTCGTCTGACTTATTACATAAAGAAGTTAAGACTTTCTGAAATAACTCAACTTCTTTTCTTAAAGCTGGTTAATTCATATAATCTACCCATTCTCCTTTACTGTTCACCATTATTCTTCCCTGGACTTCGCAAAAAAGACTATGTCATATTACGTCGAACACTGAAGACTGTAATTAGGGTTAGTTGTATGCCTTTGACTCAGCTAACTGACATTATTTTCAACAGGCACTTCAACCCTCCAAGCATTGGGCTAAAGTTATCTTGTCTCATACTGAACATCCTCTGTATTCTCAACTTTCTCCCTGTATCTCTTCGAGGAGTGAAACCGGAAGAAACTTCATAATAATTTACACTTCTACTAAATATAAAAATTCTATCATACCATATTTAGCACGAGGTTTGTGTGAAGAGAGTCAGATGTCAGAAAAGAACTTATAAACCTTTTAAATCAGTAATCTGAACTGCAAAGTGTAAGCAAAGATTATTATTACATGTTTTATTATCTAAGATACTATCTTATTATACTTCATTATGTTTCCATCAACATTCTGTTTATAGAGATTTCATTATTAACATTATTATTTTAAACTTTATGTACATATTTATAAAAGGAGCTAAATTGTTTCAATATGTATAAGAAGGTTGAAAATTGCATTCTGTATAATTATTATTGTTTGGAATATAGTGATTATTATTAATGGCATTTTTTCCTTCACATTCCTCAGTGGAACATAGGGCTTCAAGCCAGTGGCTTGAAGTTTCTGTAGCAGTGTTTATTTTACAGGATGGGGTTGCTAGTCTCATGCCCAACCTTTCCTCTTCACCAGCATTATTTCTGGCTTAGTGAGGTAAGGGAGGAGTGCGTCGGCCGGGGATCGAACCCCGGACCATGTGCATGGTCGGCGAGCGTCCTAACCGCTATGCCACCGACGCACTCATGAATACTGTTTATCCCTCATAATGATAAATTTTAAAGAAAGGATTCATGATTGTATTGAACTATTTTAAGATACCCCATCCATGAACAAAGTGATCAAAAGAATACACTCTATGCTGCAACGGGCATTACACGACACTGGCACAAAACCATATTTTCCTATTTGAAAACAGGCAACAGCTAGCGGCAGAAAAAATATATATATACAAATAGTTCTTTCTCATATAAAAAGATTAGTAGTGCGTCTTGCTTGCATATACCTATCTTGCACTAACATGTTGCCAGTATAAATTTATGTGGAAGACACTATGGATGATGAAGGCGAAAATGTTTATCTCAAAGAACACTCTAAAAATACACATTTAAGTAGCAATGAGACAAAAAAAGTTACCTACTTAACATAAGCTTTTATTTATTGAATTACAGGTTCCTACAGAAAGTGACATTAGTAGACTTTTAAGCATAGTTGAATATTACCTAACACAAAAGGTAGAATACGATGTAAGAGAGGGTAACTGCTGAAAAAAGACTTCATTTAAAGTAGTTATATATATACATATATTATTCATCTTAAATGACAACATTTATATTCGGCTTTCCCAATGCATTTATCATAGGAGCGAAAAAAGAGCTACCACTTTACCCAAAGACAATAGCTATTTTTATTTAAATACCCGCTATCTAACTGTATTGAATATTATTTCAAAGTTAACTAGATAAATCCATAGCTTTTCGTTTTTCTAGTCAGAGACACAACAATGTGACATTGTACATTTTTAAAATAATTCAATGTTATTTTGGCGCATTGCTGTTTTTTTCTTTTGTGTGAAAGGCAGTTAGTTAGTTATATTAACAATGATTCCAGAGAACAGAGAGACACTGAATCATTTTATCAAATTAGAAATATGATTTATTTTTGAAGAATTTCAAGTAGCACATGTACATTTTTTTTCAACTCTTTTCATATAAAAATGCTAAAAGATTAGACATTTTCACTGTCTGACATTTCATCTTTTTCTATACACATTCTGAAGGATTGCGTAATTTAAAGAAAGGTGAAATATTGAAAACTGAAAATCTCTAGGGTTGAATTCAGGATATGATTTGATGTTATAGAATTTAATACCAAGCTGGGTAGATTGTCATTCTGAGAAATATTCTGTGCATTCTGTTTATTTAAATTACAACTAGTAAGGAGACTTTGAAAAGAGGTCATGGAATCCATAAATTCACCATTGTTTAAGGATCTAAAAGCAGGACTGTCAGATTTCAGTCAGTTCTTCACTATAGAGTAGAAATGTGACACTGACTGCTCTCTAGTAGTAAATTAACATATCCATTACATCGCTACAAGAGGTAAGTCGTGAGCCCGAATCCCCTACTGGTAACGTTCTCACTCGCAAAGCGGGTTGGTGCGGATTTGACTCATCGAGGAGGTATCACTTCCTTTAAGAATGCATGGTTGAAGTTTTACATTTGTTCTAAATAATTTTACTCAGATGGTTTTTTGCGTATACTCAGGCGAAGAACAGGTGAAATCGAAAGTTTTCCTTTTGGAAACTATACCTGCAGGAGTTAGCAGGTTTCTAACTGACTGAATGGCTGGTTTCAACGTAGAACTTTGCACAGATATGCATCAGTTCGAGTTGCCACGCTCCCATGTAGCACACAAACCAAGAGATGAAAGTAAAATGAGGTTCAAAACAGAGATATGAGACAAAAAGAATAGTAATATGGAAGAACAATAGAATTTTATTGGATACTATAAGTCACAAGGAGTGGATGCATCTGCGCCAGCCATTGAGAACGATTTTGAGCCATATCACCAATTGTCTCCAGCCTTCATTGGTTTTTTCCATCCTGGGGACCTTAACGAGAAAGTCTACACCTCCCGATGTGGCTTAAACTCACTGTCGTGGATTTCATTGAGTGATGCTATGTTTTTGGTTTGACCATCACTAGCCAACTCTTCTCCAACCTGACTATTCTGTGTCAGTTAACATTGCCCGTCGACGAAGCCTACGACTAGGCATGCGTAACACATGTCCTAACCAT